TTCCTTCTCATGCATTGCCCTCTCTGGGGAAGCCCAAAGGGACTCTGACCCTGCTACACTTTGCTTGGACTGCCAGGTCTCCCTTTGAAAGCTTGCTGGATGTCTTCATGACCCCCTATATCCAGCATCCTGCAATCCTGAAGATCCAGTACCAAGTGGTTGATTGCAAAGGTCTGCTACTGTACTGAGAAGTAGTCAAGCTTTCTAGAACTCTGGCTGCAGTAGTCCCTGAGTGCCTGTGGCTGACCACAGTGAAACAACTTCCTAGGTCCCCCTGTCTAAATTGGGTGCCCCAGTGGTCTCTTCTCAAAGGAATTTTTACCTTCACACCCTTAAGCCTCAGATGGGTATGGTTTTGTCAATTTCTGAAATGCCCTTAAGCCATCTTTCCTATTATTTCTGGGTAAAGTACTTAGCAATGTCTCTTTAGGGGCTGTAATTTCTGTAACAATCACACCTTCCTTAGCCCCAGTTTTACTTGCATTTTTTCTGGTCAAACGGCAAGTTTTTCAAATCTTTCTGCTCTGATTTCTGCTGTTGACTGTCACAGTTAACTTGACTGAAAGCCAACAATAATATTTATGCCACCACCTGAAAGCTGTGCTGCCTTGAAGTTTCCTCCAGCAGATTAGTGCATCAGCCTCACAGAAACCTCAGGACCTGGGCAAAATGTAGACAACTTCTTTGCTGGATGGCCTCTAGTCCAGTTTCCAGTATAGTCCTCCTTCCCTCTTGAACCTCATGAGCCTACTCTTTACTGTTCATAGTCCTATTGGCATTTTGGTCTTCTGAGTTCCCACCAGAATAGTCCATTAAATTCCACTCATAACATTCTAAAATCTTTCTAGCTTGACTCTCAAAACTTTTTATTCCTCCCACAAACCAGCTCCTAAAACTTCTGAACCACATGGTTAGGTTAGTCACGGCAACAGCTCTACTTCTTGGTACCAATTTCCGTTTCAGTCAGCTTTTTGTAGCTGTGACCAAAGTATCTGACAAGAACAATTTAGAGGAGGAAAGGTGATTTTGGTTCATGATTTCATAGGTTCAATCCATGATTATCCAACTCCATATCTGTGGGTCTGAGGTGATGCAGAACATCATGTTGGAAGGGTGTGGCAGAGGGAGGTGGCTCAGGACAAGGCAACCAGGAAGGGGAGGGGTGAAGATAGAGAAGGGGTGGGTACTCCACTCACAAGGTCAAAATATAAGCCCCAAAAGCACACCCTCACAGACCTACCTCCGCCACCCACAACCTATCTACCTATAGTTACTGCCCAGTTAATAAGATTAGCAGATTAATCCGTTGATTAGGCTACATCTCTCATAATCTAATCAATTCACCTCTGAAAATTCTTTCATTGTCTCACACATGAGTTTCTGGGGACCCCTCAGATTTAAACTGTAACATGGACATACATTAAAAGTCAGAGATTTTTCAGAATGGATAAAAAGGCAAGACTCAACTATATGCTGCTTACCATTTTAAATAAAGATACAGGTTAAAAGAAAGAAAAAGATATGTCATATGAACACTAAAAGAAAGTCACAGTGACTATATTTATAGATATATTTTTTCAGTCCTAGGGATTAAACCCCAGGCCTCATACCTGCTAAATATGTGTGGTATCACTGATCAACATCTCCAGCCCGATAAAGCAGATTTTAAAGCAAGAAATATAAAGACTAGAGAGAGATATTTCATAATAGTAGAGGATCAATTCTTCATGAAGAAATACCCTCCTACCTAAATGTATGTGAACTTAAGAAGAGAGTTGCAAAACTAGAGCTGAAAAATATGAGGACAGAAGCAAGTGGCTCCATCAAAATTAAAAACCTCGTCCTTCAAAAGACACTATCAAGAAAATGAAAATATAATCTGTATACTGGGAGAAAATATTTGCAATTGTGTGTGATAAATGACATGTAAAATATACAGAGAACACTCAAAATTCAATAATAAAAAATAAGTAGCTCAATTTAAAAACAAAGAACACAATTGAAATATTTTACCAAAAAAGATATGTAGATGGCAAATAAATACATGGAAAAGTGCTCAATATCATTAGTCATTGGTCAATACAAACTAAAATCACAATAAGAAACCGTCACATATCTTTTAGCATGGCTAAAATTTAAAAATCTGACAAAATATTTGTAAAAAAAGAACTGTGTCGTATGTTTCTGGTGCAAACAAACAAACAAAAAGTTACAATCACTTGGAAAAAAGTTCAGAAGCTTTTCATCTTAATATCCAGCCTTTCATTTTCTAAGAGAAATGAAAGCATTTGTCTATAAAAAGACTTGTATATAAATGTACATAAATGTTCTTAGAAGCTTTATTTTAATAATTAAAAAAAGAAAATTGGGCTGTGGGTATATTCAGTGGTAGAGCACTTATCCAGCATGCGTGAGGCCTTGAATTTGATCCCAACACCTCAAAATACAAAAAAGAACCTAAAAAAGAAAACCCACCGAAAATAACCTAAATGTTCATCAACAAATAAACAATGGGATACTACTATACAATAAAAAGGAATCAATTATTTGATAAACACTATAACATGATAAATCTCAGAATAATTTCTTCTGAGTGAAAGAAGCAAGACTAAGGGGGAAAAAAGAGTACATACTGTATGATTCCATTATTATTTTTTGTAATATAATTTCATGTTTATTGACTTGCAAAAGAATTCAAAATATCATCATATCAAAAGGTTATAAAATGGTATGTATAATATTATATTTTAATAAAAAAGGTGCAGCTAATCTGGATGAATTTATCACACAAATATTAACATTAGTAAGATCATTGGAATTTAGTTAATTCAACACTTGTACAATATTATGCAGTACAATGTGACATTTCAGTTCCTGTATACATTGGGTAATGATGATTCAGTTTCTATAAAATTGCATAAAATATAAACTATAGTGACAAAGCAGACCAGTGGTTGCCTGGGTGGGAGATGCGAAGGAGAGGGAGGGAGATGTCAACTGGGCAGGGGAAGACTTTTGAGGATAATGGATATGCTCATTTTCTTGATTGCGATGATAATTTAATGGTGTATAAGAAGTGGTGTGGGGCAAAAGGACAGTCATGGTAGGTAATAAATGATTTAATCAGAAAGATGGGAGTTCGGGCTGGCGTTGTAGCTCAGTGGTAGAACACTTGCCTCACTCACACTTGTGAAGTATTGGGTTCGATCCTGAGCACCACATAAAAAAATAAAGTATTATGTCCATTTACAGCTAAAATATTTAAAAAGAAAGATGGGGCTCATTCAAGAGGAAATAAAATACCTTAAGATCACTCCATTTCCTCCAACCTGTTGTCAAAGATACCTGCCTCCAAGGGATTGTTCCTCCCTGCAGGGAGTTGCAGGG